TAGGAAGTCGTTCAATGAAAAACCTAAAAATGCCCCAAATAAATATTTGCTCACATATTATAGATCTTGGGCTTCTTTTTATGGGAGTTCATTCAGGGACCTGGTCAGTGAACAGGTAGTTAACTCTGTGTAACCAAGCAAGGGTTTTGTTTATCTCTTTTAAAGGAGAAAAAATGAGGCTCAAGCTGTCTCTTTCTCCTTGTCATAGCTATTGATTTACGGTCCTTATTTCTTTAAAAATAAAGAAAAGCCCATTATGTGTATTAATCTGGCAATACATGAAGCCATTAAAACCCTGAGCCTGAGGTACCAGTTAGTCTCACTTGCCTGTTGTCCTGTGAAACCCAATTAGAAAGTCATTGAACTTGGGCAGACATGATTCCAGTGTCTGTTCCAAAGGCACTGTGTCACAGAAGCGAGAATTACTGTTAGAGGCACAAACCCCTGTGAATACGAGAGGGGACACGATGCCAGTAGATGCCGGGGATGGATGAGGGCAGAGGGTACAGGGGACAGGATTCAGCTTTGTGGTGGGTGCTGAGGGCTCCTGCCAGGGGCAGCCAGGATCTGGGAAAAAGATCCGTGATTCTAGTCTGAAGTGGCTGCCTGGTTTGGGGGCTGCCTTCAGCAAGATTTGGGCTGGAGAAACTTCAGGACATAGCCACCTTCTTGGCAGTGGGTCCTGGAGATAAAAATGGATTTTAATCCAGGACTGCCGGGTGCTGGCCGTCTGCTGCGGCTCAGGCTGGGGCTGTGTGTGCTGGCTCTCGTCTGTCTTCGGCGTGTCTAACTGGCTTGTTTCTCTTTATGGCTTGGCTTCATTCTGACCTGGGGTGGGGCCACGTCTGACCCACTGCCCACTGGCTGTCCGTCTGGCCTGCCCTGCGGCTCCAACCACAGTGGTGAAGCAGCGCTTGCAGATGTACAACTCGCAGCACCAGTCAGCCCTCAGCTGCATCCGGACGGTGTGGAGGACCGAGGGGTTGGGGGCCTTCTACCGGAGCTACACCACGCAGTTGACCATGAACATCCCCTTCCAGTCCATCCACTTCATCACCTACGAGTTCCTGCAGGAGCAGGTCAACCCCCACCGGACCTACAACCCGCAGTCCCACATCATCTCAGGTGGGCTGGCTGGGGCCCTCGCCGCGGCCGCCACGACCCCCCTGGATGTCTGTAAGACCCTTCTCAACACTCAGGAGAACATGGCCCTCTCCCTGGCCAACATCAGCGGCCGGCTGTCGGGCATGGCCAATGCCTTCCGGACGGTGTACCAGCTCAATGGCCTGGCCGGCTACTTCAAAGGCATCCAGGCACGTGTCATCTACCAGATGCCCTCCACCGCCATTTCTTGGTCTGTCTATGAGTTCTTCAAATACTTCCTCACCAAGCGCCAGCTGGAAAATCGAGCTCCATACTAAAGGAACAGGCTATGGGAAGGGATCCTAGAATCTTTTCTTCTTAAAGCCGTTCTCGGCCTGCATCCAGCCCCTTGCCCTCTCCTCACACCTACATCTTTTTTTGCAGGGTGCTGCTCCCTATGGGTCCTCTGCTCCTCGATGCCTTAGAGGGAGGAGGGGATGGGCCAGCCTCTCAGGGGAAGGCTCCTGCAGGGACATCCGAGGCGGTGGTGGACGAGAAAGACTTTTGCTTTTTCTCTTCCTCCCTGGGCATAATGTAGCTTTTCTGCTTCACTGTGGCAGCCTCCTCTCTGGATGGTCAGATCTCACAGGAGGGAAGAAAATTTGCAGTGACTGAAAACAGTAAACAAAACATTTTTTTTTATGTATATAAAAGTTCCATTACACAGTACAAAACGGATAATGTTTATCCTTTATTTTTCTATGTAGAAGTTTTTGAATTTGTGTGTGTGCTTGTGCGTGTCTACACTTAGTATTACGGCTGGGACTCTCCAGCTGTTTTTTTTTAATGAGAGGGTTGAATTCTTCCATCGGGTGAAGGAAAAAGGCACCAAAGTAATAAATCACTGAATGTGGCCTGCAGCTGTGATTTTAGCCCCTCCAGATGGAAGTTTCACTTGAATGTAAAATAATAAAAATTAAGTTTATATTTTGAATTTCTCTTTTCATGGGGGAAAAAAGGTACGTTTAAAAAAATTTAAATAATGATATGTCACTTGCAGCTACCTTTCTTTTTTCCTTTTAAGTTCAATCAGCCACTTCATGTGCCTTTTTTCTTTCGTCTTTCCCCAAAATGCCAGGACCAGAGACCTGGCCCTGGCTGGATGGCTCCTGCTGTGTACACACACGCACACGTGCGGGGGGGGCAGGATCTCGCCCGCTGGAGGTTGGTGGAGCCCAGCAGAATTAGGGCAGCTGGGCGTAAACCTGTTGAGACTACTTCCTCCTCTTGTGAGTGAAGTGAATCCTGCCTTCCAGGTTAGCACTTAGAAGCCCTTCATAGGTAGCACTTGGCTACCTGCGGGGCAGGTGTTTGGAATGAATCCTACCTTCAGCCTAGGAGTTATTTCTGCATCAGCTTTTAACTCAGGCACTTCAGGTAACGTAATCTATGTGTGTTTTGACCGAATCTCCTCTTCCCCTGTTTCCCTGTGCGGTCTCCAGACTCTGTCCCTTGTCCGGCCCCAACCATTAACTCCCACATCACAGCTTCTCACCGCATGCGGCAAGAGCCAGGCCTGTCTGCGAGGGCCCCGCGGCTCAGGTCTGACCTGGACCGTCTTGCCCGAGTCGGAAGACCCCTGTCCAGAAGGCATTCTGCAGCCCCGTCCGCTCTGCGTCACCTGAGAACACAGGCCTCGCGGCCTTGCTCTCTGAAATGGTGTGTCCGGGGTAAGACGGTCCGTCAGAGAAAATGCAAGCCCGTTTTCCCTAGCAATGCCGTTTGGTGCTCTGGGGCTGCTGTGCAAGGGAATACTGATGGGGCGAGCGGCACTGGCTCTGATTTGGGGCCCTCACCAAAGCTTATCTTTAAAAATGAGCAGGAAGCTCAGGCGTGTTTGCATTTCGGTGAGCTGGGTCCTGACCTGCCACCACCCACCACACTCAGTGTGGTTGCATCTCACCGAGGAGGTGCAGGCCTGGATTCTTTTTGAGTAGGGTGACTGCCTAGGAAGTAACACATGGAGAATTTCCATCTTGGGACCATGCACACAGTGCCTAGGGGAATAATTTTTGCTCTGATAGCAATGAGGAATTCTATCATCAAACAGTCAGTTGACTTATTTTTTCAGATCAGGGATGGGAAAGAGCCACACTGGGTACCTCCCGCGTGTGGCCAGTGAACAGCCCCTTGCGGCTGGGCTGTGGGGCTTGGCTGCTGCCTTGTCCCATCTGGGGGTTAACACCTCCTCCCTACTCTGCCCGCCACACTCCAAAGCCCGTTGCAGCCTCAGCCCTATGTGAGGATGTAGAAAGCCGTAATGACCATGCGGCTGCTGCAATTGTTTACAGCTGTGCTCTCAACCTGCCTTGGGTTTGTGTTAAATGGTGTTAAATTCTGCAAACGGTGGGGGTGGGGGGGATAGAATTCTAAATTCCAAAGTAGAATTTAAGGAAAATTTGTAAAAACTTATTCTACCACCCCTTTTAGTCCACCTGAGATAGGCCGCACTGCAGCAAGACAGTCCCTACCGGATTTTGCTTTTACTGGTGTTTAGAAAAGAAACTGTTGATGTCTCTAGGAAAACTCCTTTGGTTAGGGGGATGCAAGAAGGGAAGGTGAAGGCCGGGCGCAGTGGCTCACTCCTGTAATCCCAGCACTATGGGAGGCCAAGGCAGGTGGATCACTTGAGGCCAGCAGTTTGAGACTAGCCTGGCCAACGTGGTGAAACCCCATCTCTAGTAAAAATACAAAAATTAGCTGGTTGTGGTGGTGGGTGTCTGTAATCCTAGTTACTTGGGAGGCTGAGGCAGGAGAATTGCTTGAACCCAGGAGGTGGGGGTCACAGTGAGCTGAGATCGTGCCACTGCACTCCAGCCTGGATGACAGAGCGAGACTGAGGTCTTAAAAAAAGAATGAAAGGTGAAAACCAGATGTTGGTGCTCTGTGGGCCTGGATTGCAGGCCCCTCCCTGTGTGATGAGGGATGGGCCAGCTGGGGGAGTCACCTGGTCAGCCTGCATGCCCGACCTGGTCATCAGGAGGTTGAAGAAAGCCTAGAACGTTGTGAGGCACTAAGCAGATACTAGTGTTTGTTAATTTTGTAGAAATTAACTTTCCTCTCTGGCCTTTATCTTCGAAGTTGGTATTGGAGCCCCATGCAGACTGCAATCAGGTTTTTGACTGTGACTTGACACTGCAAAGTGCTAAATAGGAAGAGATCGCCCCACCTTGCTATCCACCCCCCGACCCCCGTGACCAACTCAATATAATCACAACATGTACTTGGTCCTTGGTGTCTTGGGGTGACATCTGCAGCCAGTCAGTGCCCCCTGAGTCCAGCACTTGTACTTTTACATGGTGTGTGTGTGAGTAGCTCTAATGCCTAAACCATGATTTGAGGTTCAACCACTGGCAGCTGAAAGCTTTATTTTAGAACAATAAACTGATTTTTTTCCAAATGGGTGATAGCTTCCACCCATGACTATGTTTTCTTAACTTTGTGTTGAATCTATTTACTGGGTTATTCTATGTGTAGTTTGTGTTTTCATTTATTGCTCTTTTCTTTTAAAATGCTCATGTCATTTGGAAAATGATTATTCCAAGCACCATCCTCCAAAGCCCCCCAAAAGCTCCATCTCCAACCAGTTGTTACGCCAATAAGGTTTTATTTAACTTTATTTAAGGATGACTGTCTTTGAACTAAGAATGTACTGCTGCTTCCTACCTGTAAGACGCACAATGTATAGAGTGAGCAAGTGTTATTTGTTACATTCCCCAAACGCCTGCAGTGACTATTGTGTGCCGCTCAATTGTTGCCAGCCCTTTGAAGAAGGGGAGAATTGTGTGTTTGTGTGGGATGTTTCTGATACGCTGCTACAGTTGCAACACTGGAGCTGGAGAAAATAAAGTATTGATCTTTGAAGTGTTGTGGGCTCTGTGGTGGGAATCCTGAAATGAGGGGAGTGGACAGCAGGAGGGGACGTCCTTCACGGGGCCTAGTCCTCTTCCTCTTGAGCACTCGGGACCAGGGTCGGCAGCTTTGATAGGAGCTGCCCCTGCAACCTCCTTTCCCCCGGGCAAGCAGATCCATTGCGGTGTTCGTGTTGTCCTGCTGGGGAGGAGTGGGAGCCTTCCCACTGGCTGGCTCACCATGCTGGGGTAGGTGGCACTTTTCTTTCTCACTGTGGGAGCCTGGGTGTGGCAGGCTGCAGGTGGTTCTTTGTAACCTGCTGTGCTCTTGCCCGTTTTCTCTGTTGTACACCTCAGGTTAAGCTGGAGAATGTAACCTCTTTTGGAGGTGGGAGGAAGGAAGGTTTGGGCCCCTTACAGAAGCCAGGGATGACTGACTGTTCCGGCAATTTTGAAAGTCTGAGTTTCCACCTTCATTATGACCGCTGAGGCCCTTGGCCTGCCAGGGTGCAGGGTCAGAATTGAGGTCAGGCCTGAGAACTGGTCAATGCAGGGGTGCCCAGAGGTGGGAAGGGGTGATGGTTAGCAGGTGGGGAGCATTGGGATAAACTCCGTTTTGTAATTTACCTATGGCCAATGCTGCGCTACTCCAGCTTGTGGTTGCTTCTCTTCTGGGGTGGGTGGCACAGATGGTCTGTTCCAGTAGATACAGATTCATTCCACAGATATCCCCCCTCTGCCTCCACCACAGAATCAATCAGCCAACAAATTGGTTGTGCCTCCCATGAGCAGAGCTTCATGCAGGTGCTGGGGACAGAGTGAAGTAGAAGATGTGGTCCCTGTCCTCTAAGGTCTTACAGCCTAGTAGAAGAGTACAAGGGGAGATGCAAACTCCTTAAGACAATCAGATCTTGACCCACCAAGATGGTAGCCAAGTCACCTATGGAAGCTTTCTGCCCATTAGAACAAGTGCCATGAGACAGTGGCCTTGTTGGTCTTACTTGTTGCTTTATCCCCAGCCAGTCGTATGCTGGGGCTGGCCCTGCACCAGCTCTCTAGCGTGTACAGTGCACAGTCCTTCCCAGCTTCACATTCCGTATTGCCATGTTGGTAGCTTGAAATCGGCAACAGTGGGGATATTTACGCCACAGAAATTGTCAAGCACTACTAATCAGGGCCTTTGCTTTTCCAAGAGCTACTTTACCAGCACACCACTGCTGGTACCGAGCACAGTGCTTGGTATGTGCTAGCTGTTCAGTAAAGATTTGCTGAGAGGAAGATGTGAAAAATAGAACCTAGTGTCAACCTGGGGTGGGGGCCCGTAGTTTCCCACCTGCCCTCTCATGGCTCATGGCAGAAACCGTCTTTCTATCACTCAGGAGCCCTCTCTAGCACGACCACATTCAAATTCCAGCCCTAAAAAGGCCATGAAACAAAGGTATACCCTTTCCTCTGGGGCCAAGGTCTCCTTACTGAGTTGCATGCGTTCTGGTTACCAGCTGTCTCTTCCAGGATAGACCTCTGCTCCTACTCAAGGAGGGGGCTTAATGTGATAAACATGTCAGAGAGGAAGTAATGAGCTAGTCTTGTATAAGGGAGAGACGCAGCCACTGGGCAGATGTGGAGGTGGGTTATTATTGCTTGCAAGAGAACAAAGCATTGCCTCTGGTCTAAGTCTGAATGCAGGGAGTGGCCTAAGAGAAATCAGTGCAATCTGGGAGAAGAGTGCTGGGTTTGCATCCATAAGGGCTTTGTAGGAGACACCCTCATGTAAGTAAGCTGCCGGTAAGAGCTTTGACTGCCATTGTAAGAAGTTTGTTGGACCTTTAAGGAGTAGGTAATGGGAAGTCACCAAGAGTCTTTGAGCAGGGGGCGCCATGATTGGAGCTTGGTTCTAGGGAAAGTCAGCTGGCTGAAGTGCACAGGACCAAGTGAAGAAGAAATATGGAGGAGGCCAGGAGATGGTCAGTTGTGTCACAGTGAAATTGTCCAGAAGAGGCATGACTAAAAGAAAGGTACAGAATGAGTGGGAATGGACTGATGAGAGTGTAAGACGTGAAGTCAGCAGAGGCCTGGGGATGCAGGACTCTAGGGCATGCTGAGAACAGGCTGGGCTGTCTGCGAGGAGCAGGAGGACCTGGCGGAGAGACTAAAATGTGGCAGCAGAGGAAATTCCTCATCTAAGTCCATGGGTCTCTCCTTAGTCCTCCTCCTCTTTGGGCATGGAAAACTCATCTCAGGTCCATGAGTCTTTCCTTGGTCCTGCTCATTCTTGGTGTAGATACCGGATCCCCAAGTTCGTGAGTCTGTCTTTAGTCCTCCTCCTCCTGGGGCATAGACGCCTCATCTCTAAGTCCATGGGTCCCTCCTTAGTCCTTCTCCTCCTCAGGCATAGACGTCTCATCTCTAAGTCCATGGGTCCCTCCTTGGTCTTCCTCCTCCTCGGGCATAGACGCCTCATCTCTAAGTCCATGGGTCCCTCCTTGGTCCTCCTCCTCCTTGGGCATAGATGCCTCATCTCTAAGTCCATGGGTCCCTCCTTGGTCCTCCTCCTTGAGCATGCACAACACTTGAGGGCTCTCTCTTTAGCTCCCCTACTTGGCTTCCATTTCCCTGCTTCCTCCTGGCCTCCCACCTCTGTGATACCTTCTCTGGCCCCTCACCAGCTTCAGCTCCTTTCCAGGTCACCTGAGTATGGCTGCCTGGAAAGGTTCTACTGCTGGGGATCCTGTCTCTCCACACTGTCTTGGTGCTGATCGGCCCTCCTCTGGGAAGATGATTCTCAGATGTGGGGCTGTAGCACCCCAATTCTTCTGAACTCCAGATTTAAATCTCCAGTGGCCTGCTGGAGATCTCTTGGATCTCAACTTGTCTCTCATTCTCAAGAGACTATCCCCCCACTTGCTGCCAGAGGCTTACCATGTTACTCAGCTGCTCAAGACCTTCAAGGACTCCTCATTGCTTATTGAATTTAATCGGATTTCCTGCATATGGGCAGTTCCCAGTTGAGCCTCGTGTATAAGGTAATTACTAGAGAGAAACAGAATAGGTCAGCAGGATGGCTGTGTAAGACCCCGAGTCTTCACTTCCTTAACGGGGCAGTGCTATCCTCTTTCCAGAACTTAGTTCCCACTGGAATGTCTTCCTCCCTCTCCTGCGACTCCTCTCTGCCCATTCAAGTCCTATCTTTCAGGCTGCCTTGAAGATGGCATTTACCACCACATTGCAGAGCTCCTCCTAGTTTGCCTATCTATGTGATCTCTCTCCTCTTTGTCAGTGTCTACAGCCTGTTTGGCAGGTCTCCAATCTGCAGTGGCTGACCTCACTTTGCATTTTTGCTGCCTCCTGCCCAGAATTATGTGCCCAGTGAGGGCAGAAACTGTCGTTTAGTCACTCCTGTTTTCTCCACAGCCTTCCCGCCTACTGTTTCCCACATTCTGTGTAAGAGTGACAGTCGTTATTCATTGTATGTAACAAACTTCTGACGTCCTATTGAGTCTGAAACTCCTGTGGGACAACCAGGTGGAGACCCCAGAAGGAAATGCAATGTTGGTGATCAGGAGAAAGGCCGGAACTGGAACAAAGGACCTGGCAGATAGGCCGAGGGGTGTGATGGCCAAAGCCGCAGGCACAGGAGAGTCCCTAGGGAGAAAAGGAATCTTGTGGAAGGCTTACATGTATAGTGAAGAGAGAAATGGGAACCAGGAGAGACTGGAGTGGTCAGAGTTATGAAGTAACCAAGAGGTGAGGCTTTTACAAAGGAGGGGTAGTCATCAGTTCTACAAGCTTAGGCGTGAAATATAAGCAACTAAAGCCATTTTTAGAAAACCCTAGGCTGGCCGAGGTGGACGGATCATGAGGTCCAGAGATCGAGACCATCCTGGCCAACAAAGTGAAATCCCATCTCTACTAAAAATACAAAAATTAGCTTGGCGTGGTGGCACGTGCCTGTAATTCCAGCTACTTGGGAGGGCGAGGCAGGATCATCACTTGAACCTGGGAGGCAGAGGTTGCAGTGAGCTAGCCAAGATCCAGCTCATAAAAACAGAAAAGCCCTAGTCTCTCCTTTCTTTGTTCCGGTTTTTCCCTAGCCTTACTCTCTTGCCTTTTTGTATTCCCTTTGAAATATCACCTTCACCAAATTCAGCTGCTTCCACACCTCCCCCTCCGCTGACCCCCTGCACCCAGCACCATTCCTTCTGTAGCTAGCATAATATTCCAGGGGCTACCTAAAGGCCATAATTAGACAAGCACTCAAAACTGTACATCCCAGGCTTGTTCATGAAAGTGAAAAGCTGGCAAACAGACTAGGTATCTGTCAAGAAGTTAAATGACTTATAGACCATCCCTGCTGTCCTGCTTTTTTCTATTTATTTGTTTTTTTTAGACAGAGCCTTGTTCCATTGGCATGATCTCGGCTCACTGCAACCTCTGCCTCCCAAGTTCAAGCAGTTCTCCTGCCTCAGCCTCCTGAGTAGCTGGGACTGCAAGCTCACGCCACCACACTCAGCTAATGTTTGTATTTTTAGTAGAGAGGGGGTTTCATCGTGTTGACCAGGATGGTTTTGATCTCTTGACTTCGTGATCTGCCTGCCTCAGCCTCCCAAAGTGCTGGGCTTATTGGCATGAGCCACCGCGCCCGCTGGTATTTTGTAGGAAAGAAATTTCATTAAGGCTCCCCAGCAACATACCATATTAATTTTCGTATTTTTAGTAGAGACGGGGTTCCACTATGTTGACCAGAATGGTCTCAATCTCTGGATCTCATGATCCATCCACCTTGGCTGGTCTAGGGTTTTTAAAAAATGGCTTTAGTTGCTTATATTTCACGCCTAAGCTTGTAGAACTGATGACTACCCCTCCTTTGTAAAAGCCTCGCCTTTTGGTTACTTCATAACTCTCTGACCACTCCAGTCTCTCCTGGTTCCCATTTCTCTCTTTACTATAAAATGTAAGATTTCCACAGGATTCTTTTTCTCCCTAGGGACTCTCCTGTGCCTGTGGCTTTGGCCATCACACCCCTTGGCCTATCTGCCAGGTCCTTTGTTCCAGTTCCGGCCTTTCTCCTGACTACCAACATTGTATTTCCTTCTGGGGTCTCCACCTGGATGTCCCACCAGAGTTTCAGACTCAACAGGACATCAGAAGTTTGTTACATACAATGAATAATGGCTGTCACTCTTATGCAGAAGGTGGGGAAAAAAATCTGTATTCCTAATACATTTATCCCGTTTAAGATACTTCTGGGCTCCCCATTTCTCTGGCCTTGCCTCCTAAAGGTATCATTACTTTGGTGAACATGTGAGCTCTCTTTTGTGAAGCCATGAATATAACACAACTCCAGACTTCCAGGCTCCTCTTGCCATAGCTTAAGAGGCTCTTCTTTGCTTATGCTCTTATTTACCTATGGTTGTTTTGTTTTCCCTAGTAAGCGAGGCTCTGGGTGAGCTCCCAGCACTACTGCTAAGAGGACACAAGGGCCATTTTAGCAGAGACAGACAGCCCAACCCCTGTCCACTGTCATCAGAAACTCCTCTGCGACAAGAAAAAGTAGAAATCAAAATCATACCAGCAATGTGTTAGTCTTCAACCCGAGGCAATTGAAGCTTGGGTATCACCTTGAGTCCTTGTGCATTTCTGTTGTTGTCAAGGACTCTCTGTGTTGAAAGGGCATCCGACTGTAACCTCATGAAGCCCAGAGCTACAGAAAGAGGTATCATGGACATCTGGCATCGTATTGTCATGCTGGCCCTTGGAGTGGCTGCCTTTAAGGGAAAATGGGGTTTAAAAAGAACAAAGGGAGATATGGACCAGGGGTGTTTGTCCTCATCAGTATGTGAGCTCGTGGAAGGAGTTCTTGCAGCTTGCTGAACAGTGAAAATGTTCTCTTGATGGACACCTTTAGCTTGTGTTGACAGGTGACAAATATATATCCCAAGATTTCTATGTTGAGTCTAATTCAACCAGCTGGTAAAATACACCAGTATATCCTCTCTCTTTCCCGGATTGTGTCTGTGTAAAGTTTAGAAATAAATAATGTGTGTATTAGTCTGTTCTCACATTGCTATAAAGAGGTACCTGAGACTGGTAACTTATAAAGAAAAGAGGTTTAATTGGCAGGAAGCATGGCCGGGGAGGCCTCAGAAAAGCTACAGTCATGGTGAAAGGTGACGGTGCAGGGGAAGCAGGCTTGTCTTATGTGGCCAAAGTAGGAGGAAGAAAGAACGAGGAGGGAGGCCCTACACACTTTTAAACAACCAGATCTCATGATAAGTCACTCACTATCATGAGAACAGCATGAAAGGGGAAATCCGCTCCCACGATCCAGTCACCTACCACCGGGCCCCACTTCCAACACTGAAGATTGCAATTTGACATGATATTTGGGTGGGAACACAGGTCCCAACCATATCTTTTTTGTTTGTTTGTTTGTTTGTTTTATTTTGAGATGGAGTCACACTCTGTTGCCCAGGCAGAAGTGCAGTAGTGCGATCTTGGCTCACTGCAACCTCTGCCTACTGGGTTAAAGTGATTCTCCTGCCTCAGCCTCCCAAGTAGCTGGGACTACAGGCGTGCACCACCATACCTGGCTAATTTTTGTATTTTTAGTAAAGATGGGGTTTCACCATATTACCCAGGCTGGTCTCAAACTCCTGACCTCAAATGATCCACCCACCTAGGCCTCCCAGAGTGCTGGTGGGATTACAGGTGTCAGCCACCCTGCCTAGCCCCAAACGATATCAATGTGCAAATTTGAATGTAAATAGTTATAGGTGATATTTATAATACCTCTGTCTGTCACTCTGGGCTTCATGAGACTTTAATGGGTGCTGCGTTTTATTAGCATTTTCAAAAGAGTCCTTGACCACAACAGAAAAACCTGAGGACTCAAAGCCAATGCCCAGGCTTCAGCTGCTTTGGTCTAAGACTTCAAAAACATCACTTGGAAACTGGGAATACTTACGTGCTAGGAGCTTCCTTGGGTTTTTGTGTGGTCTCTAGCACGGCCAGTGATCCATCCGGGGTTTTGTGTATATCCACAGTCATGCACCTCCATGGTCATTTCAAAATCTCCAGGTAGGGTGCAAGGTCTGAGGGCAATTGTCCTGCGTGACTCCCTCTCGCATTTCCCCTTAAGCTCATGAATGAGTAAAATCTGGATAAACTACACATGAAGGGGGTCGTGGTAAATGGAACTGAGAGGCAGTCAAACTGGGAAGAGCAGCCAGGAGAAAAGAATGTTCTAGATGGAAAGAATGAACCAAACCCTGGACCCATTATTCATCATGGCAGGAGAACTTCCTTTGCACAGAATGGAACATGAAGCTGTAAACCTCCTGGTATTCCCACGAGCTTGGGTTGCCAAGAGCACTCATTCAACAAACACACTTAGACTCTTACTGTCATACTTAATCTGATCCAGCTTCCTATTTTGAAGAGATTTTTGCTGATTTTGACTTCCATAAAAGTCTTCGTTTCTTGATGCTATCTTGAATGTCCACCTAGGTCTCTATTTTTTATTTTTATTTATTTATTTTTTTGAGACGGAGTTTCACTCTTGTTACCCAGGCTGGAGTGCAATGGCGCGATCTCGGCTCACCACAACCTCCGCCTCCTGGGTCCAGGCAATTCTCCTGCCTCAGCCTCCTGAGTAGCTGGGATTACAGGCATGCGCCACCATGCCCAGCTAATTTTTTGTATTTTTAGTAGAGACAGGGTTTCACCATGTTGACCAGGATGGTCTCGATCTCTTGACCTCATGATCCACCCGCCTCGGCCTCCCAAAATGCTGGGATTACAGGCTTGAGCCACCGCGCCCAGTCAGGTCTCTATTTTTTAAGATCAGCAAGTTTCTCAAAGCCACATTTGAAAAGCATACAATTACCTTTGAGTGGATTCCAGTGCAAGGATAATTTTCTTAGTTGTTCATGTAATGAAGTCATTTGTTTGCTCTGGTCCGTTTTAACCATTGAGCATAGAACAGATGGGTCGGTATGTCCCAAGGCCTAGACGCTAGTCCTGCAGGTCACTAAACAGGTTGATCTTGGGTGACTTTGGGTATATCACTTAAGCTGTCTGGTCTGCAGTTTCCTCAGCTGGGAAATGAAAGGGTTGGGCCAGATGACGTGTCATAATAGCTCCTCTGACTTCACCAGCCTATAATAATGTCCACAGACTATGGGCTTTATCTAGTCTCTAACTGTATGATTAAAATATAATTGCATGCTTTTTAGATGAAATTAGAAGGAAAATCTCACAGGCCTTTTAACTTACCTACCATAAAGAATCATTCATTATCATTTTGCTTTCTTTCTTCTCACTTCCCACTTCCTAAACTACTCTACAAATAAAAGACCAAAACCCAGGAACTTGACACAGGAGAATGAAGGATGTGACTGTTTCACATCCTTTTCTTTAATATGTTTTTAATTGCTATGTTTCTGTGCACTTGCACGTAAATACTTTATTTGCCTCTATGTCTTTCTGAACTCTGAGTGGGGACTGTTAGTCTCTGGTAATACAAGCCTCCAGCCCAGTGCTTGAAACAAAATGAGTCTTGTTTGCCAGCAACTCACGGAATTGGATGCCCTTATTGTCCCACAGTCCATTACTATAGGAAGGCACACTGTGGATTTTCCACGGTGTTTTTTATTGTAAGGTCTATATGTCTAAAACTTTTGAAAAAAATGGACTTTATTTTGTTCGGGTAGTTTTGAGTTCACAGCAACATTGATAGGAAGAGACCGTATTTTTTCCATAAGGCATTCCCACATACGCATTGTTACCCACTGCCAACATCCCTCACGGGACTGTTGTATTTGTTACAACTGATGAACCTACATTGACACATTGTTATCACTCCAAGTCCATGGTTTACATTAGGGTTCATTCTTGGTGGTGTGCATTTTATGTATTTGGACAAAAATAGAATGGCATATATCCATCACTGTACTATCATCCAGAAGAGTTTCACCGTCCTGAAAATACGCTGCAGTCTGCCTATCCTTTCCTCCCTCCCTGTAACCCCTGGCAACTGCCGATGTTTTATTGTTTCTATTGTTTGGTCTTTTCCGGACTGCTAAGTAGTTGGAATCATACAGTATGCAGCCTTTTCAGATTAGCTTCTTTAACTTAGTAACATGCATTTAAAGTTCCTCCATGTCCTTTCATGGCTTGATAGCTTATTTCTTTTTAGTGTTGAATGTTCCCTGGTCTGGATATACTCCAGGTATTCATTCACCTACTGAAAGACATCTTGGTTGCTTTCAAGTTTTGGCAATTACAAATAAGGCTGCTATAAACAACCATATGCAGGTCCTTGGGTGAACATACATTTTTCAACTCCTTTGGGAAATATTAAGGAGTGCAATTGCTGGATCATAGGTAAGAGTGTGCTTAGTTTTGTAAGACACTGCCAGGCCGGGCACGGTGGCTCACACCTGTAATCCTAGCACTTCGGGAGACCAAAGCAGGCAAATTACCTGAGCCCAAGAGTTTGAGACCAGCCTGGCAACATGGCGAAACCCTGTCTCTACAAAAAATACAAAAAATGAGCTGGGCGTGGTGATGCATGCCTGTCATCCCAGCTACTTGGGAGACTTAGCCATGAGGATCACTTGAACCCCCTAGGTGGAGGTTGCAGTGAGCCAAGATCACACCACTGCACTCTGGCCTGGGTGACAGAGAAAGACTCTGTCTCCCCTACACCTTCTAAACACCAATGACAAAAAGAAACTGCCAAAACTGTCTTTCAAAGTGACTGTGTCATTTTGTTTTCCCATCACAGTGCATGGGAGTTCCCTTTGTTCCACATCCTCGTCAGCGTTTGGCGTCATCAGTGTTCCGGATTGTGGGCATCTCACAGGTTCGTACTGGGATCTCATTGTTCAATTTGCATTTCCCTGAGGGCATATGATGTACAGCATCTGTTCATATGTGTATCCACCATGTGCATATCTTCATGGTGAGGTGTCTTCAAGGTGAGGTGTCTTCAAGGTGAGGTGTCTGCTTAATTGGGTTGTTTTCTTACTGTTGAGTTTTAAAGTTTTTTTGTATATTTTAGAGAGTAGTCCTTTATCAAATATGTTTTTGCAAATATTTTCTTCCAGTCTATGGCTTGGCTTTTCATTCTATTAACAGTGTCTTACAGAATAGAAATTTTTATTTTAATAAAGTCCAGTTTATCATTTCTTTCTTGGATTATGCCTTTGGTTTCTATCTAAGAAGGCATTGCTGGCTGGGCATGGTGGCACATGCCTGTAATCCCAGCACTTTTGGAGGCTGAGGTGGGCAGATCACAAAGTCAAGAGATTGAGACTATCCTGGCCAACATGGTGAAACCTCATCTCTACTAAAAATAGAAAAATTAGCTGGGTGTGGTGACACATGCCTATAGTCCCAGATACTCAGCAGGCTGAGGCAGGAGAATTGCTGGAATCCGGGAGATGGAGGTTGCAGTGAACTGAGATCACAGCATTGCACTCCTGCTTGGTGACAGAGCAAGACTCTGTCTCAAAAAAAAAAAAAAAAAAAGGCATTGCCAAACTCAAGGTCACACACATTTTCTTCTAGGAATTTTGTAGTTTTTCATATTTAGGACTGTAATTCATTTTGAGTTGATTTTTATAAAGGGTTTAAGGTCTGTGATTAGCTTGATTTTTTTTGCATGTGGATGCCCAGTGGTTCCAGCACCATTTGTTGAAAACACTTTTTTCCATTGTATTGCCTTTGCTTCTTTGTCTGAGATCAGTTGGCTATACAGTCATACCTCAAAGATATAGCAGGTTTGATTCCAGGCCACCATAATAAAGCAAATACTGCAATAAAGTGAGTCACACAAATTTTTTGGTTTCCCAGTACCTATAAAAGTTATATTCAGGCCAGGCTTGGTGGCTCATGCCTGTAATTCCTGCACTTTGGGGGTCGAGGTGGGCAGATCACGAGGTCAAGAGATTGAGATCATCCTGGCCAATGTAGTGAAACCCCGTCTCTACTAAAAATACAAAAATTAGCTGGGCGTGGTGGTGCGTGCCTGTAGTCCCAGCTACTCAGGAAACTGAGGCAGGACAATTGCTTGAACCCAGGAGGTGGAGATTGCAGTGACCCGAGATTGAGCCACTGCACTCTAGCCTGGCGCCTGGTGACAGAGCAAGACTCTGTCTCAAAAAGAAAAAAAAAGTTATATTCACGTTATACTGTAGTCTATTAAGTGTATAATAGCATTATGTCTAAAAAAAATACACCCCTTAGTTAAAAATACTTTATTGCTAAACATTTTAGTGACAATATCCTCTGAGTCTTCAGGGAGTCATAATGTTTTTGGAGGTGGGAAGTCTTGCTTTCTTATCAATGGCTGTTGACTGATGAGGGTGATGGTTGCTGAAAACTGGGATGGCTGTGTCAATTTCTAAAAATAAGACAACCATAGAGTTTGTGGCATCAATGAACTCTTCCTTTCATGAAAGATTTATCTGTAGTAGGTAACGCTGTTTGATAGCATTTTACTCACAAGTAGAACGTCTTTCACAATTGGGATCAGTTATCTCAAATCCTGCTACTGCCTTATCAGCTAAGTTTACATAAGATATCTAAATCTAAATTCATTGTTTTTACTTCAACAATGTTCAAGCATCTTTAACAGGAGTAGTTTCCGTCTCAAGAAACTACTTCCTTTGCTCCTCCATAAGAAGCAACTTCTCATCCAGTAAAGTTTTATCACGAGGTTGTAGCAATTCAGTTACATCTTTAGATTCCACTTCTAATTCTAATTCTCTGGTGTTTCCACTATATCTGCAGTGACTCCCTCCCCTGAAGTCCTTAACCCTTGAAAGTCATCCATAGGGGTGAAATCAGCTTCTTCTAAACTCCTATTCATGTTGATGTTTCAAACTCTTCTCATGAATCCTGAATGGTTTCGATGGTATCTAGAATGGCAAATCCTTTCCGGAAGGCTTTCATTTTACTTTGCCCAGATCCATCAGAGGAATTACTGTTTATGGCAGTTGTAGCCTTATGAAATGTATTTCTTAAATAGTAAGGCTTGAAAATCGAAATTACTCTTTAACTCATGGGCTGCGGATGGATGTTGTATTAGCAGGCATAAAATATTAATCTCCTTGTACACCTTCATCAGAGCTTTTGGGTGACTAGGCATGTTTTTAGTGAGCAGTAATAAGTTGAAATAAATCTTTTCTTCCTGAGTAGTAGGTCTCAACAGTAGGCTTAAAACCTTCAGTAAGCCATGCTATAAACAGATGTGCTGTCATCCAGGCTTTGTTGTCCCATTTATAGAGCACAGGCAGAGTAGATTTAGCATAATTCTTAAGGACCCTAAAATTTTTGGAATGAAAAATGAGCATTGACTTCAACTTAAAGACACCAGGTGTGTTAGCTCCTAACGAGAGAGTCAGGCTGTCTTTTGAAGGCTTTGAAGGCAGGCATTGACTTTCCTCTCTAGCTTTGAAAGTCCTAGATGGAATCTTCTTCCAAAATAAGGCTGTTTGATCTACATTGAAACTCTGCTGTTTAGTGTATCCACCTTCGTCGGTTATCTTAGCTAGATCTTCTGGATAACTTGCTGGAGCTTCTACAGCACTGGTTGCTTTATCTTGCAATTTTATGTTATGAAGATGGCTTCTTCTTGAAACACCAGGAACCAACATCTGCTAGCTTTAAACTTTTCTTCGGCAGCTTCCTCGGTTTTTTTTTTTTTTTTTTTTGAGATGGAGTTTCGCTCTTGTTACCCAGGCTGGAGTACAATGGTGCAATCTCGGCTCATCGCAACCTCTACCTCCTGGGTTCAGGCAATTTTCCTGCCTCAGCCTCCTGAGTAGCTGGGATTACAGGCACGCGCCACCATGCCCAGCTAATTTTTTGTATTTTTAGTAGAGACGGGTTTTCACCATGTTGACCAGGATGGTCTCTATCTCTTGACCTTGTGATCCACCCGCCTTGGCCTCCCAAGGTGCTGGGATTACAGGCTTGAGCCAACATGCCCGGCCTTAAGCCTTCATAGAATGGAAGAGAATTACAGACTTGCTCTGGATTAAGCTTTGGTTTATGGGAATGTTGTTGCTGGTTTGACCTA